GTTAGTTAGTGAGTTTAGTTAAGATTTTGCGTTGCTGAAAAATTTTTGCTGTCGACTTGTGCGTTGCGTCTCTTTTATACACAATTATTAATGTATCACCATGTTCGTGGATTCATGCTTAAAGAATCGAGGTTTCTGCCCCGAAATAACATGGACTACATGGAGAATGGTTTTTGCCTTTTGGAGCGACATGAGGGATTACGCCTTCTACCGTTGGTTACCATGTAACTCTGCGCTTTAATTGATTAAGATTTTTTATGTATACCGTTTATAGTTTAATTTAGTACTATTTGCGCTGATGATGGCCCAAAAAAAAAGGGCCGAAACGTCCGCCATTCGCGAATCATGTAATTAAAGAAATTCTCTAATTTTTTTAATTTATTTTTTGGTTTAAATTATATACCTTTGCGCCCAAAAAACTGCGCGTGGCTCTTTTGCCTTTTTATTCGGAGTTTGACAAAAAAATAAGATATAAATTTTAATAAAAACAACATGAAGATAAAATTAAAGAAAATATAATTCTGCGGTTTTAAATCTTTCATTCTCTCTCTTTCTCTTCCTTAAATAAATAATATTTTCTATATTGCACAACAAAATGAAATAATTACATTTATATTATTATATTTATATAAATAACATATATATATATATATGTAAAATAAAAACTCAAGGGAATACATTTCTCTTTCAACAAAATGAATATAACTGAAGAAAGTATAAACAGGAGAATAAATTTTATTTATGATTAATAAAAAGAGAATGAGAGTTATTGAAGTTATTAAAGAAAGAATTATGCATATATATATTGCGTTACGCGTTTAATAGCGTTTTCGAGTGAAGCAAATTTGATCGCTCTGACAGCGATTAATGACGTCATAAACACCGTCTTGCGTTATTAGGGATATATTATTAGGGACTTATTTATATAAATCAAATTCAAAACTCATTTTCGGTCGAACATATATTCATGGAAAATTGGGTTTAATCACTATCAAAGCAATCAAACCTTCACTCGAAAACGCTATAACATCGCGGCGAGTTTGCAACATGCCAGACTGTTCGAAACTATTCGTGCACGCATCCAACATTGGACGCCGTTTCAACAATAACAGTTTATTGAAAGCCAAGTAATTACTGTCAACTTCTTTTGATTAATTCTTTTTAACGATTTACTATTGACAGATTTACCGATTTTTAAATTCCTCACGTTTTCAATTGACAGCGAGACGAATTTCCTCGCTAAAAGTCTACAAATTAGTTTGCTTAGTTCGAGAACCGACGTATTTCTCATTTATCGCTTTAATGCAATGTTATTTTATGCAAAGAAGTGACGTTAGCGCATGCTTCATCACAATAAATATGTTTGAATTTGCATCGCTTATTGAGACGTTATTTTTAACGGTATTTTTACCGAAGATTTATAGAAGAATTAATGGACGGTTCAAAATTTCTTTCATATATATCAAATTTATTCTTACACAGAATGTAACGCGATTATACAGGGTGTCCCCAATTTAAATGTCAAAACTTTAGGAGCGTGTAGGGTACTTTTTGATAAATCTAATAATTTTAGTGTTGTTTTAAATTATTAGATTTATCAAAAAGTACCCTACACGCTCCTAAAGTTTTGACATTTAAATTGGGGACACCCTGTATAAACAGCGCGCAATCGCAAATATTTATTCTCCAAATTTTTTTGAATACTCAAAAGCAACAAGTATAAAAAGCGATTGTTATTTTGTAGCTAGAAACATTCCTAAATCCTTCCTTTATTTCAGAACGCGTCATTAAATTCTGCCATTGTCCATAAACTTGTCAGAAACGTTCAAACAAGTTCGTCTGTAATAATACGTCTTCAATCGCGTTGCACAATAATTGATATCGATTTTCGAGCCCACATTCAAATTTAATGAAAGCGGGGTGATGAAAATGGAGAACAAAAAAGAAAAATGCAACTCTTTGTTCAATGGCACAGACGAGAATGGAACGACAATTGTAGAAAAAGGGCATATGTAATAAAAAAGACTTTATCGAGAGTACGAAAAAGCTTCAGTCACGTATATATCATTAGATGTATCGTTCCACGAAAATTGTTCTACGCAAATTGATATATAAAAGTTATTAAATATTTTAATACTATTATAAATTAATTAAATTTATATTTATATATAAATTAAAATTTCGATAAAAAAAGATATATACATATATAATTTTGTTATCGTTAATTATTACTAATAAAATCAGGGTGTCTACTTCCTGGATGAACATGGAAAACCTGGAATTCTCAGGGAATTTTTTTATATCTAGAAAAATCAGGGAATTCTCATGGAATTTTGTTGAGACTCAGGGAATTTTTTTTAAAATCCTCTCTTTAATAATTTTGCTCCTATACTATAAACAGCAGACAATTCACCAATAAGCTATATTGTGAATTATATGTTTAAAATATATTATAAATATATATCTATCTCTGTTTACGTATTCAATGTCTTAACAAAATATTAAATTGGCAATACATATTCTTTATTTTAATTTTTAGTGATAAAAAATAAAAATGTTAATGAAGTTAAAAACTTTTAACGGAAGCTATTCAGTTTTATTTTCAGTACATTGTCAGTACATTTGTAAATTTTGCATTTGAAACTTAAGTGGCTTTGTATTTTTCCTTTGTATGAATGAAAAGTATTAGAAAACGCGTGCAATAAAAAATCTTATTTTAGGAAACTGCATAAAAAAATGTTTAAAATATTCTCTTTATCTGGAATTTTAGTTTAAGAAAAAATATATCAATATAATTAATATACCCTTTTTTAGTCGAAAAAAATAATTTTTTAGGGTAACGTATGCTTATTCTCTGTATTATTCTATAACAGTATTCTATAAATTATAATTCAAGCATGTTGATATGTGATAACAATTGTATCGGCTGACTAGAACTATATGGTTGTATATTACAAATGCAGAAATAATATTTTAATAATGTGGCAAACGTGTGGGGCAGGCATTGAAAAGGACAACTTGTTGAACGTTGCGAAGCTCGATCACGTATCACGAATCTATTCCGATATCGATCGCTTGATCGGAATGAAACAAGCGACGCGTGATCAAAGCGTGGAATCACAAATAAATAGGTATCCATTTATCCGACGGATTTGCGATGAGTGGAAGCCACGAACAGACACTTCTAGGCTTTCGTTACGTGACATATTTCAAAATAGGCCACTGGATGTGTGTGTATATATATATAATGAATAGAACGACGAATAATAACAAATAGCAACAAATAGGAATTTTCGATTCTGGCCATATTGACTCTCGTTCGAGGGCTATTCAAGAAAGAAAAGAAAAAAGAAGCCAGTTACTTTCAATGGATAAACCGCACGTATATCGCACTTTTTCAGCGGTCGGAATACCGTTACTTATAAAATCAGTAACAAACTTATTTGAACAACTCTGTTTTACAATATATCATCAAATGAGGACTATATCTGGATGAAACGGAAAGATAAGATGTGCAGAGTATGCGGAGAAAAAGAGGAAAAGGTGGAACATGTTCTGTACGAGTGCATGGAGACAATAGGAATAAGACAGAACTTATTTGACAAGGAAGGAAAAGAATTAGAACAAATGAAGGAAATAGCAGAAAGAAAAAAAGAGATAGAGAGACGAAGGGAAGAGGAAGTAAGGGAGGAAGGATAATAGGCATAAGGAAACTATATAGAGCAGAATAGATATAAAGGGCCTGTGCAAAAAGAGAAGAAACAAAAAGACTAATATTTATATTGAGATTTAAATTTTATAATGTAATAAAAATATATTTATGTATTAATATTGAAGTAAAATTTAAAATGGAATTTTATGTATATATGAAATGATTTTAACATGTAAAGATTATTAAATTTTTTATATTGTGATTATTTTTCTTTTCATATTTAAAAAAATGATTGCAACTTATTTCATAAGAAATATACACAATTATTATTCAATTATTTAAATATTGTTATAATTGCAAAAGGAATAAGATACCAAGCTGGCTCGTAGCAGAATATTACTATTGTCTTGAGCGATTCCTGAAATAATTAATTCATCTGATTTAGCGAAAGCACCGAGAAAAAGTTTTATAGCAAATATCTAAAGTAAAACAAACTTTCAGACAAGAGATAAGACACGACACTTTACAAGTCGAATAATGCTGATGTGAAAAAAAAAAAAAATAGAATAACGAGAACTTGTAAGCTCGAAGCGTAAAGCTAACGATTTAACTCATCGTCTGCTGGGGCCATAATAATCACCTTCATTTTGCAAGTGATTTTAGGTATTATTTAAATAACTGAGTATTCAGCACATTTTTTGCACATAGCCAACAGTTAATTAATTGTTCTTAGTACTTGTTTCGTTAACAAAGCAAGGACAGACGAAAGTTGAACTAGTTTAATTATTTCTTTAATTTTGAACAAAAATACCTGGAAGATGAATTTCATCTGAATCAGGGAATTTTCAGAGAAATTTTTTAGGATTTGAGTAGACACCCTGAAAATACAATATGCACAGTTTTGGCCACGATGCATATTTGAATTTTGTACTTTTCTAGAAAAAAAAAAAAAATTAATTTTTCTAATACACCCGCGTAAAAAGATTGGCACGCCTCTTTTCTGCAAGAATATACTTCACTCGTTTGAACACAAAGAATTTTCTCCAATAAAACCGATTATTTGTCAAAGAATTTACATACGCCGCTAAAAATTCTGGTTCAATCACACAAAGATCAATTCATTTTCTCATGTGTTTTTACGTTGATGATTGATAATCAATCTCGTGATCAAAAACTTTTCGCAATGCAAACAGAAAAAAACGTATCCTTTAAGTTCGGAGAAAAATATTAGAAAATTAGATTGTTTAAATATAATGAAAATATAATGAATATAATTTTACACAATATCGCGTACCAAAGATTTTTGAACCCTCACGTTGACATTTCCTTCATATCTTTTTGCACTCTTGTATATGTTGCATTACGCGTCTAATATCGCGGCGAGCTTGCATGCCAAATTGTTCGAAACTATTCGTACACAATTCACACGTCCGATATCGGGCGCCGTTTCAACGCGACTGCCTTCCTGAGACATATCGTCACTATATTGTCGGACCTTACGCCTTACGCATGTCCGTCCGATTTCCGACTCCCTCTTCCGCGCAATCCCATCATCGGTGTTCGTTCCGTTCGAGGCTTTCCTTGTTGCATGTATATGCGCCTCTTGTGCGCCTGTCGGCTTGCGTGAATCCCCACCAACTGTTGCTTTATAAATGCAATTTTAATGCAATATATTCTTGGTATATTTTTGGTATATTGTTATATTTGGTATATTGGTTGTATATTGATACATTCTTTTTTTACTGTTCAAAGTTCTCGTATTTCTTATCATACTAACTAATAAGCCGGCCTTTGAATAACAAATAAAATTGAATTCTGACTTCATTATGCAAATAGAAGGTTATTTTATTAATAATCTTTGCACATTTTTTTAGATTGGAACCTGCGCGATGTCCCCGGCTTCATTATCCCCTCCAAGGAGTTTTGACTAGACTTATTGTTAAAGGCTTGGCTCCTTCCTGTTCTCGTCGTCGCTGCTGTCGATATTGGCCCATTTTCTTTTCTTACATGGACTCTTTTTTTTACCAATCCTGCAAAATTCTTTGTTCCAACGGTGCTTCTTCTATTTCTGCCTCTAATGAATTTTCACATTCCTGCAACACCTTTAGAGACTGGTTAGTCGTCTCGCGCTGTTCTCTTTCCTCCACTACCTTACTTACGAATTTGTTCGGTGTCCTTATTTGCACATCGCTGACTCGTAGTTTATTTTTCTCCTTGTAGTATTGCTGTCCTCTTCGCTTTCGTAGTCTATTTCTTGCGCCGCTCAGAATCTTATAATGTCGCCTCTGGCACGACAATGTCATTTTCCTCGATAAACATCACGTTTTTCATTAAGGCATTCTTGTTGATAGTCATATTAATGTTAATTGGTCTTGCCTGCGACATTTCCTCTTTTAGCTTTCTAATCGTGATCGTTGATATAATTTCTTCCTCTGGGTTGCCATTTTCATCGAACAACTTTGACTCGTCGTAGAACGTTCTGTTTGTATTTTCGCTTTGTAAATCTATCTATTTATTTTATCTTCAAACTCTTCTTTAATTCCGTTATTTGGTATTTTTACTGCATATTCATACTTCGTACTTCCTTGATTTAATTTTCTAGTTTTTAATGACAAATATATTTTTGTATTTATATTTGTTTGAAACTTGTAAAACGTCGTGCCAACTTCACAGATCTAACCATGGAGAAAACAATTTTATATTACTTAAGCTAACATACCCGTTATAAAACAATTTAACATCCTATTTTACACCAGAATATTTATATGAAATTTATTTGAAAGAGCATCAACTTCTGATTTTGTCAATTCATAAAATTCAATAAACGGCTGATTGTTAAGACAATTTAGAAACATGTATTTTTTAATATTATTAACGTCATGCAGTCCGACACTGGCAAAATGAAAAAATTCCTGTCAAAGACTGAGAATACCAGAATACCACAGAACAATTCGTTAACTTGTTGCATATCAATAGTACTTTTAAAAATTGCATTAGTAATAGGAACATCGATTCTTTATATTATTGATTAATCGAATCTTCGATTAATTTATTTCAATATTTATATATATGTATGTAGAAAATAAACAAATATTATGTAAACACTTACGATTTCTAGAAGCTGTTCTGCAGGCCAAACACGACCATAGACATTCGCTTAACATATTTAATGTACAGATTGTGACCCTTAAATCTTTAGGAAAAGTTTTCCTTAATACGTTTACCAACCGTTTCATTTCTTGTTAAACAGTTTTCCGAAACGGACGTATATTTTGATTAATTTCGACGACTTCATCGATTAATACAAATACTTCTTTGCCATTAAAATGCTTTAAAGACACTCTGATAAAAATTTTAAGCCTTAATCTTAAGTACATATTTTTTAAAGTTTGACAAATTTAAAAAAAAAAAGCAAAAGAAAAAGTTTTTGTAATGTATTAATGTATTGACTATATACAAGTCTGACTATATCATATGTTTAACTTCGAATAAACGCTGTTCGCAGTCCAATTTATTTTTTGCGGCTTGTTAAACAGCAGACAGTGTCAAACAGAATTTCCGATGTGTGTTTCTTGTCGTTAGCTTTATAGTTTTACTATCGGGGACGGGCGCTTTAACCGGATGCTTTTGTACGTTCCAAGGCAAGCCATTCTACCAACATCGTAAAAATTAATTATTGACGAAATAGCGATTCCGTGTCTGCGTAAATATTGTGCATCGTATCAGATTGACATATAAAAAATTTTCGTCGGATATTCCGCAACGTACTACGTTACGCGTCAAAATGAGAATAGATGCAAGAAAAACAGTGGTGGCCCGACAGCAACGGCTCTGCATCTTCATTAAATAGTCAGTGTCATAAACAGAAATGGTTAACCAGCTTTCGTGATGTTAACAATGATGGTAGCAATGGTTAATGACGTTTAAATTCCGAGTTTGTCACATAATATTCTCGCGAATACATACATCATATGTACATATGATCTATCGTGGAAATTTTGATCGTGAAGTATCATTTGAATGGTATGACTTGCATATTGTTATCAAATATTTACTGTCCGTACATTTCCCACGATATCGATTCTCTCTACCTACGCATTATTGCGTCAAATACAATTGATTACCATACTTGCATACATCGGATAGGTTCCCACGTTTTACACTTATGTAACATTTAGCGTATTATAATTGAATCAAATTATTGTTTATTATAGAATCGCGTGATTTCCTGATATTATTCAATCACGCTCGATAAAATTTCATGAAATATAAACATTTTAATAAATGGCACGAAAAGAAATTCCGCATTCTCATACTGATCCGTGATGACGTCTCGCTATCACGAATTTGTTATGCAAAGTATTTTAGTAAAGATTGCAGTAAGAATAGACAATTATTACACATCAACTCCATTTCAATTTGTACGTTTACTAGTAAAACTTATATACAGGCGTACAGCTGTTTGTTCTATGCACAAGTGTGAGATATATAAAATGTATTAACCTATATAAGATTCATTTATTCCGTGTTGATTGCCAATGAAGAAATCTTATGCTAATTAAAATCTTATACCACTTTATTTTCTACAAACGTAACAATTAAAGTTGATCTGATTTATCAATACATATTGATAGAAAAAATGATCTTTGAATATATAATTGGTTAAATAGATTATAAATGAAATAGTAAATAGTATTAATATATAAAATAAAAAAAGATATATAAAATTTATTAAAAAGATATATGTGTCCAAAAAGATTCTATTTTTTGATTTTTTGAAACAATCATCGTGTGTCCGATGTTAACCCGGTGTAAACCTTTAATAAACCATTTTGTTAAAAAAATGTTACGCGATCACGATATCGGTAAATTCGTGTGATGGTCTTTTCATTTTTCGCTTCACGTAATAAAAACGATTAATTTATTGAAAATATTATATAAAAGCGAGTAGAAGATCGTGACCCGAAAGTTTATAAATAAAATCATCTCAGTAGAACTCTCGAAACTGGAAAGCTTCTTTAATCTATTTAAAAGCTTCCGATAAACACAAATGATGGAATATGATTGATTATAAATGATCCTATTGTGACAATGAATACTATTAGGTCATTCTTGAACGTAATGAAATATTATCTTAAGATTTGCAGAAAGATAAATCAACTGGGTGAGATTTGTTCGACGGATAAATTTATAATTTTTTTTATCCTGAAATTTTCAACAAGATCACTGATCTCGATGAGATATAATCGATCGATACAATAGTATTTTGTGATTTTGCATTTTGAGAGTTTTAAATGTTAAATTATTTTAGAAGATTAATTATTATTTCTCGTCTTTTCTTATATAATTTATTTTACAAACTTACTTTAACAATTTAATGACAATAATACATTTTAATGAAAAGAAGGTAGACATCGGGAAGAGAAATTTCTTTAATCTCACGCAGAATCGATTACTAATCGTTAAATCAGTATTTATATTAAAGTTTCGAATAATTTGACACATACACAAATATGTGAACCTACAATATTATAAATATTTAATAAATTTTATGTAATTACTATATACACATTGCAACGATCTTATTCGATAAAATTGCGGTGCCATTTACAACATGTACATTGTCACTTAATTATTTTATAACAGTTAACAAAACATCAACATTAATTCTATCACATGTTGCTTTCCAGATAATAATAATACTAACCGACATTTATGGCGCATATTGCGTTTAGCGTAACTATGTAGTGTATAACAATTAACTCTTAACGATATACAATATACTGGCAAGGTAGTCAAAGACCTTCGAAGTTATCGTTACACGTATTACGTAATATAAAGTTGATTTGAAAGTCAATCCGACTCTGTCCCGTTTTACGACGATCGTCTATTCTATTAACTTTCACGTATTCGATTGCGATTATTCAGCTTCTTATATCTTGTACGAGGATAGTTTTCAGGCATTGTTAGAAGCGTTAAGCTCGTGTTATTGCGCTTGTTGCGCGACCCGATAATTCGATTTTTTTTTACGATTTTTCACTGGTATTCTTGTCAGGGTATCAATAGATGCGTGATGTCACCGAATTCGTATTCGCCCAGGAGAATGCGAAACATATCTCTCATGGTGAGATGATGAATTGTCTCGTTCACGTGGCTCGCTACGTAATCCTGAATGGGCGGCAATATGTCCGGTTTAATGATGTCCATTGCTTCCGGTGTTAACTCCTCAAAGACCTGTGAACAGATTGATTTATCGAATTCCACGCGCATTTAATCCAGTATTTTATAATAATTCCTAATGGAATTTTTTCCGCTCGATATAATCGCGAAAAGTGTACAGAAAATTGCTAAGTGTACGGAAAATTAAACATAACTCAACTATATATTGCAATTAAATGTACTGTAATTTTTCATTGCCGGTTAGCTATTTATAATTCATTGCATTCACTTGGAAATAATCAATTGGCGACGCATGGCGTCGAGATTGACAGTTGCACAATTGAAATTCGCGTTGCCGCCGAGGTGAGAGACGCGAATAAATTGAGCAATTAATATTACGTTCTTTGAACGATGACTGGATAAGCAGTGAATGACCGATTAAGAAATCTTGTTCATTTTTTATGATGAATGCAATTAACTATTTTTTATTTTGTATTTTAATTTTTAAACATTATACGAAGTTTTTAAATTACGACATATCAGTTCTATAAAGCATATATTAATTAAAATTTATAATAAAATGAAATGATATTACTCGTCAATAATCATTAATTTCAATAAATTATTGCCTGAAATTTTAATCACTATAATTATATAATAATATTCTTCATTGGAAAATGTGCGTCAGACTTTATATAATTATATACTGCAAAATAATTAAAAAATGTAATAATTAAAAAAATGTACATTGGAATTTGTCAAACATATTTTTCACATATGAAGACAACTAGAGAATTTGTCTCATGAATCAAGAGACCGTGTAGATTACCTGACAGCCTTCCATTATCAAATTTCTGGCCTCTTGAATTTTCCCTACGCTCTCCTTTAAATGCGCGGACGCGATCCACGCAGGACGACGACTAGGATTAGTTTTTCGGATGGATTTTAATGTTGATCTACTTTATTCTTTCTCATTATTTTCTCATGGTGGTGGTCTATGGCGGTCTATGGATTGCTATTTTCTTCATATTAGACGAATTATCTTTCTGTGCATATTCTGCGCCATGAAAATTTCTTTGGATAAATCCTTAGAGCCTGACATATTTGCGGACAACTTTAGTCTAGTAATATGCCGGACACAATTTTACGCGCGATCGGGAGGGCAAACGGCCGATTGTGCTTTCGCGATATATTCCTGTAACAAAGGAAATACCGAAAAGAAAAATTTGCGACGATCGATGACTCGCAGATAAATTTAACTATGATATACCGAACACTATTTCACGTGCAAATCGGAATTAATATTCTTGATTGGAATATTAAATTTATTAGGATTCAGAATATATTTTGAATAAATTTGATGCTTATGATGAACTTATGATAGATTCGCGGATATATGAACTTATGAAATACTTGAAACAAGTAATATTTACTTGTATATAGTATATATTTTTCTGTGTGTATACATATATTAGAATTTTTTTCAGCACGCGTATTTCGCCCGAACTTATATTGTTTATCCGAATAACCAGGCTTTGTTTGGATTATTTTGTAATTTAGACTAATATCCTTTATATTATTGTTTTTTAGTCTTCTTCTTCTTCTTCTTCTTCTTCGTTTGTATGGCTCCGCGTTAGATATATACCCGCCACACGGCCAGAATTCTTGTTCAGAAGAGTGCTGTTATAGTATAAAGGTCTGGATAGGATGCGTTATGCATATATGAGGACAAGTTTTTGTTTGTTGGAGAGAAGGAGAGTTAAATTTGCAAGTTGTGTTTCCTAAGAAAGGATATGATAGGAGTAATGATTTGAGGAGAAGGTGTTTTGAGAAGATGAAAGACGTTATAGGGAGGAGGCTTTTTGAGCTTTTTCTGAATAGAGAGAAGAAGAGAATTTCTGTGAATACTAAAGGTAGGACAATACCACAGGATATGGTTAATGTCCTGGGTAGGAAATCCGCAGTCGCACGCTGGGGACGAGACAATATTACATCTAAATAGGCTGCTATTAAGACCGTAGTGATTGCTCCTGACCCTGCAGGCGACCACAATCTCCTCGCGGCTGAGATTCGACCCGTAGAACCAAGGTTTAGTAGCAAAGGGAGGATATAAGTCAAAGTATTGTTTTCCTGTCAGTTGAGCGCGATTGAGCAGAAATTTGGAAGTGTCAGATTGCAGGTTGTGATGACAAATGACGAAAAAGTCACTGAAAGGTATTGGACATTGTAAGAAGTTGCCGAAACGGGTGGCCCTCTTGGCGAGGTGATCTGCAGTTTCGTTCCCTAATATGCCAACATGAGCTGGGATCCAGATGATGGTGATATTTATATTTTGCGATCTAGCTATCCGAAGTTTGTCTTTAATAGATAAAATTAAAAAGCTCTGTTTCCTGGAGAATTTTGAGGAGATAGCTTCAACGACGCTGCGAGCGTCGGTGAAGATTGAGGCTTGAGAAATATTGTTTAAGAGAATGTATTCAATACAATAAAGTAAAGCCATGGCTTCACCTGTATAAACTGACGCGAAAGAATCAATTTTGTATAAGCGCTGTATGTTAAGGGATGGTGAGTAGAATGCGAAGCCTACGTGCAGGTCAGAGTTGATTTTGGAGGCGTCAGTGTAGAATATGTCTTTACCGTGGATGAAATGGCTAAAGTGTGGAAGGAAAAGGAGTTGTGGAATGGGTGCCTGGCGTAATTCGTCTACGAATTGAGAGGAATTCAACACTGGGTTGCAGGTGAATGGAGTCATGGGCAAAGTGATAAACAGGAGGGCCCTCAAAGCAGGCAATCTTAGGTCTGAATTTTTTATATAAGAGGAAGACTTTGTACAATAGAAAGCAGTTAGGGACATTGTATCTGTCGCTTCTAATTAGGCTGATTTGAAGGTCGTGAAGTCTATCTATTACGAGATGCGAAGCGTCGGCTAAGGCTTTAAGGATATATTTGGAGGCGAGAAATGTGAACCTAGTCTTCAGAGGGTTGATGCAGGTTTCGGACAAGACTACATTGCAAGGAGTGGATTAACGAAGACCGACACAAAATCTTAAAGCGCGTCGTTGAACTTTTTCGAGTTGTTTTTTAGTCGGATGTACTTTCGTTCTTTATCAATTATCTGTAGATCATCACTATCACTGTCTGTGGATGTGTACGCACAGTTCGTTTTACGACCGGCCTTTTGTCATCGGTATAATATTTATCGGTGAAAAATTCTTTACAACCGCTTCCCGCGATATTCGTTGGGATTTTATTCGCGATGCACGAGAACCTCAGTGGAGCGAGGTCACATTTGTTCGGTCATTGAAATCGTAAAAATTCCAGGTTGTCCGTCGAATATTAATCGTTCAATTCTCGTTCGCGTCTCTCACCTCGACGGCAACGCGAATTTCGACTATACAACTGTCAAATCGGGCCACGTGTCGCCAATTGATTATTTTCAAACGAATGCACAATGAATTATATATAGCTAACCGGCGATGAAAAGTTACAGTACATTTAATTACAACGTATGGTTGAGTTACGGACGCACATATTTAATTATGTATCATCTTACTTTGCTCATAATTTTTCCGATCTTCTCGCCGCCCATGAAGTTGTCCAGATATATCTTGATCCCGCGCAATGAGAAGTCAAGGTCGAACCTCTTCAAGTACATTCCTCTAGCGTAGCCCAGAACGGTGTTTACGTATACACGAAAGCCGCGCACGGTGGTCTCGAAGGGGCCTGCGCCGCGTAACGGATATAAGTCGCCCAATATACCAGATATGTTATAATAGCCCGTCGCGAAGATCTCGGGAATGGAAATGTTGACGGCGATGGTAGGTCCAATTAGCGACAACTTGGCTCGGTCAATCAGGAAAGTTGATAACTTCCTCAATTCCAGGTTTTCGATCACTAAATTTATTCTGGCAAACAGATTTAACGATGACATACATTATACATATATCTTGTTTTGCGGAGCTATTAACACATTCTAATCGCAACAACCACTGGTATCTTTCGTTTGTGGGTAGAGAGAGAAATAAATCTTAGATAGAAAAGTGTGTCTTAGTCACAGACAGTAAAATCGTTTGAATTATTAAAGTAGATAAGAAAAGGTGCGAAGACAATATAATTTCGATAAATTCAACTTTTAACACTGCAAAAAGTAAAGATAAACAAGTGTTACGTTTTTATAGTCACTAAGAAACATCCAATGAATTTTAAAGTTTGCGAAATTATAATGGTTTTAATTTTGAGAATCTTTATAAACGCTCCTTCTAAAATTGCATACCGAGGTGCGCGACCATCGTTTATTCATCGTGATTTCTCGGAATCTCTGGAATCCGATGTACCCGACCGCGTATCGATCCATCGACTTACTTTCCTATTTCCGGATTATCCGTATCGATGTCGATTTCGTCGAGCGTGAAAGGCTCGAGCGGAGGGATACCTAGCTCCGGGATGCCGTTGCCCATTCGGGCGCGGAATTTCTCCAAGAATCTTCTCAACTTGAACTCGAGACCCATCGACGCGGCGCTGTCGACTGTCCGTGATTCGACGATTAGCATAAATGTGAATAACTGCGTACTAAGTACCGATACTTACTGACGCCGGTTGTCATTCGGGTGGCGTTGATTAATAAATTTCTCGGCCTCTCCACCGCGTTGGTTACTACAATCAGAAGGCGGAAGCACTCTCTCTCATTTTACTTGCATTCTCGTTTATCTTACTTATCTAATTGCGCCTGCCTTGTTATTGCCGCTGCTCAGGCATTATCTCTTTCAGTGCCGCCGAGCATCCTGTGTGTTGTATGCCAATTTCTGTTTTATTGTTTATACGCGCGAAATTGCATGTTCGTGAAGAGATTAAATTTGTTTAATTTTGCGTCAAAAATAGAAGTAAATAAATTACTCTCTATGAACTGTGTGTGCATGAATAGAGGACAAATTTTGTAAGGCTTTAAATATGTATATCTAATGATAAATAAGTTACATACATAAAACATTGTGTTAAACTTAAGTGATTTCATTGCCCAAAGATGAGTCATTATATTTTTAGAATAGTAATTGATTGATACTCTATTCTTTTGCCAAGAAAAATAAAAAATGTATTTTTTTTGTATTGGCTCTTTTTAAAAAAATTTCTTGTTGCAAAAATATAATTCCGTGCATTAAATGCATCTAAAATTTATATAAATTTAATAAAAATGCAGTTATAGTCGAAGGAATTAATAAAATATAGATTTCTAAACTCTGATTTTAATTAAAGAAAATATACTTATATAATTTTATTTGTTATATAACTTAATTTAACTTACAATTTGATTTTTTTTTGTAATATAATTGTATAATATAATATGTACATAGAGAAAGTTGACGCGTGAAAATGTCTCTTAGTTGTACAAGTTAAGAAATGTTCAATAAGAATACACAGGTGTCTCGGCGTTAAAAGATCGAAGATAGAAGCGCGAAAGTAGTCTCATGCATAACATATAGCGGAATCATTAATTAATCAGCATTGTGATCATTTTTTGTATAATATTATCGATCTTTGACATCTACTATTTAATTTTGAATATAGTATCGCGATGAATTGGACATTTAATTTATTCCACGAATTTATTGAAACATTTATTATATTGTTTGTAGCGTTTAGTATTCTATTTTTCGCTGGTATATTATTGAAAAGAACTGAAAAGTATATTATGAGTTATTAATTATTTCACCGTATATAATATATAATTTCTCATGATTTAGAAATATATATAATTTATGATTATAATTATATAAATTGAAATTATTGCAGTATCGATTTATTGAGAGTCGTTCAAGATTCTTATGTTTTTCTTGTACTTTCCTGTGAAATTCTACTGAAGTGGACAAATAAAATGTGTAACGTTCAATTCGATCTTCATCATTCGATGGCGTAAATGAAGCGACTCGATACTATTCATTTAAAAAGAAATTAAAAAGCAATTTAGGTCATAAACTTCTAAAATGCTATTAAAAGCGTATCGTTCCGCGATTTAGAGAAACGCAATCTCTTCTCAATCAAATGCCCCTTGCCATGCCGTTTTATTACGGATCGAATTATACGGTATTTCTCCGCTAGAGATGTTCGTATATTTGCATCTCTGAGAGTGCTTGTCTACTCTACGCGCACGCTCGGAGAATTTACGTTAACGCAAATTACATTCTCCAACGTTCTGTAGAAATGCAATTGGCCGCTAATCTTTTGACATGCTCCAAGTGCTCTTCTATGTTGCATATAATAATAAATATACAGCTTTTATACACAAGATAATGCAAAACTAACATTTTCGATTGTTTCAACATAATGTAATAAAAAGTGTGCACAAAAACATATGTACGTAATATTTTTTAATTAACAATTTAGAAGCATCAAGAAATCTGGATTTAATTGTTAAATATTTTAAATTCGAAAAACAGATGTTTAAAAGATTATATTCAAAATTAATCTCTTTCTAATTAAATCCATGTAATTTGTACATAAATAATAAAGAAATAAAATAATAATTTTTATCAGTTATACTTTGAAAGTTAAGAAAGAAGTTTCGTAAGATCTGTCGAGATATTGGAATAAAAACCTATATTGTTTCTTGTCAATAACAAACGCGCAAGTATTTGCAAGGTTTTTGTAAGCTGCTTTTTTTTTCTTTTTTGGGGGAGGGGTGGGGGGTGGGAAGCTGCGCTGAAGCCGCATTTAAGCATGAAGTAGATGCATAAGCCTTTGAATTATCATTGCATTTTCTACGAAAACATACTGTATTCCGCGGCAGTATCCGTAACGCGATGCAATAGTTCTTTTTGCCGTTGCACGACTCCCGTTACTGTAACAAACGATTACAAGTCAACGAGGCACCCTTGCAAACCAAAACCGATTAACCAAAACTTGAAATGCTGATGTTAAAAATGTGTGCAGTAATTATTATTAATATTCACAAATTATTTTTAATAACACAATAATTAATTGTTTCTTAGCATAATATTAATCTTTTTTTAATTAATACGGAAAATAACACAAAACTCGCAGTTAACTGATTTTCGTGACATATTCATCTTAAGGAAATACTTCAAATAATTTTTTAAAATTAGATTTAAATAAGATTAAACCGATGTGAAAAAGGAAAGGAATAAAATACGCTATATGATTTCCTTTTAAATCCTAAATACACTTGATTCGAATATAAGTTATAATTCCTGAGATCATAGATATGAAGTGTATAAAATTGTGTGTATAAAATATCTTTAATATTTTTCTTATGATTGCTTTTCTCTCGCTATTCTTTCCAAAGTTCAAAGATAAATTGCATTTTGTATCTTCGATATTAATGCCTATCATGCAGAAGATATTCATTATATTCATGATACACATTGTGTTTAGCAATCAACTCTCAAAGCACCTTTATTTGCACACGTTAATTAAACTGTTTATCGGCGCGCTGATCACGGATGCAAACGTTGACTATCATGAATTCGAGAATCGGCTTTCTGTCCGAGAACAGTTGAACCTGTCGAGGAATTCCGTTATAGTAATTAAATGATTAATCGAATTTGAGCGTGGGTCTTGTTTTGCTTTCTCAGATAAAGGAACTTTAACACGAGATCTGCTTCCTAATTGGAAAGCGTTAATGATTCTGGTGTAGTAATTAAATGAACTACGGGCACAAGGATATTGTTTCTGTTGTAAGACACTTTAATGATCGCGTTTATTGCAATTTATAATAGGCTATTATGAGGAAAAGATTTAATAATGTAATAATTGTGAAATAAAATGGACGTATTTAGCCATGCATGTCGCGATTTAATGGCACATAAAGCAATTTATGTACGCGGTTACGTTTGATTTGCTATGTTTAGATACGCTTTGATCTACGCATTAGCGTTGTATAAAAGATCGCACGCTAAATTTTATTTTCAATGCATTTATGTAACAATGTATATATAAAAGATTTCGACTATAAAAATAATTATCATGTTTTTTATCGTGTGAATATTGCTACGTAAATGATATATTTTGTTGACGATTAAATCAAATATTTAACAATATCAAACATTTAGTCTTTTAATCTGGATTAAGAGAAAATAGCGGAAAACTGCGAGTTTTGCTTTGGAGACCTTCAACGGATATTGAATATTGATAAGGCATCGCTTGCTATATTAAACGATTATTACAAACGGAAAAGTACTTTTGAAAATATTTTAAATATTCAATGAAATAATTACATGCGATTATTTTTTTTGTTGATTTTTACGCAATGCTGAGAATAAAAAGCATGTTAATTTCTATTATTAAGTATTCAACACGCGTTGATATGTAAATTAGTCCTATCTGTAAATACAGATGTGACTAATGCCGACGTTGGCGAATAAAAAGCATCTCTTGCGTCAATTCGATTTCTTACAGTAATCTTATGCCCTTAACAGATATTATTATTCAATATACGTTAAATTCGTTTTAACACATTCATCAATCCGCTGCACAACAAATGTATCATCGCCTGAATCATCCTTACTTCCGCGAACAAACATGCAAATGCATTTTTTTTCAATGCTAACTACTCGCGGTATAACATGCGTTCCGATAATAAGAAAGCTATCCTTCGAATTTATTGATAGTCTTTACCAATCTAGTTCGTACCGATGAATATTAATTTCATCATCACAGCCGCTCTTTGTAATATTTTTTTTTTTCAGTTTCAGTTAATAAATTGAGTTTAATTTAAATTATTGAGACCGATTTTATTTTCGTAGAAAATAAGACATTTTTTGCACAGAAAAAATGCTACTATTAAATATATTTAAATTTTTAATATGCACAAAATATTTTAATGTTTTAATATTAAAATGTATAGTAACATATCTATTTTATTGATCGTAACTTACGATCTCCGATACTCTGAATGAAGTTTATCTATGTTTGTACACTATAACTATTTTTTAGATAATTGCATAATATATCGGAATGTCTTCTCGAATGCTTCATTTATGTCAATATCGTATCGCGAATAACTCTATCGTTCTGTTTCCAAGGTGTTTTATTTCCATTTTTATACAAAAATACGTCAGTAACATTTATCATTTCGCGTGAGATGTGTTTGCATGGATTATTATCTAAGGTCGATCAAGTTAAAATTATGTATAGCTGTAATCTATTTTGCATCTGATTAAAAATTTAGGTCACTAGTGGATACAATTTCGCATTTATGCTAATTATTTATGCAAGCTACTACAGTTACAAGTTAAATGTCATGTTTGGGAAACTCTCGCGTGAGTTACGCCATCCAGATTCACAAGTTATTTAGATGGGCTATAGTGACTTAAAGAGGCTAACTTTATTTTTTGCTTTCATCAATCAAATACTTTCAATCTCGCTGTTGCTTGGCGAGGAAAGGCCTTTCCTCAGAGCTCTCTATAATATCATTATCTAACATCTTCGCGTACTTAAACTTTCCATCGCTTCATCCTTAATTAATACTGTTGTATAGCTGTATTTGTGTTTTCACTTTCATTGAATCCGCGATGATACAACGTTTCGATATTCAAGCATCGTTATTTATTATATCATCTTTAAGCTTAAATTCTAAAACAACTCGTTTAAATCTAATTCATTTTGAATGTTTAGATATCAAATTATTGATTATAAAATATACGCGTGCGAAATAATGTTAAAATTTTTTTAATGAAAAATTAAATTTTGAATTAATCGGTTTTTTATTTAAGGGACAAGGTTGCACAAGTTTAAATAATGTTTTAATAACGGTAATCACGTCAATTTATCAAAGTAAATAAAAAGATATTATGCACACACATCTCGCCTTTTATCAATTCAAATTAAATTAAAAAAAGATATTAAAGCTGTAAGATACAATAATATTCTTAATTGTTATATCGCGCGCATTCATAATTGTGCGAGAATAATTTGTGCCAAAATGCATCATACTTAATCGCATATTCCATTTTGTTATTTAATCATAAAATATCAATGATTAATATATTGATTGCACGAACATTTATTGAGAAATGTATATTAATATTTCTCTAATAAATATTTCATAAATTAAATAATGTAAAGGTATGCAGGAATGAATTGATCTATCAAGCAGAGTAGGTCAGAATAAATCATATAGTAGTCTAGAATAGTCTCTTATTATCTCGATGCAGCTCTATGTGTTTATCCCCTTTTTATAGCATCGATTCTATATTTCAATCTTTATCCCCATTTCTTCCCCGTTTCTAAATAGTTTGCTAATATCTACAAATATTTGTAGAACACTCGATAAATTCACCTACGCGGTACATCGAGATTGTCATTCTGATTGACTCACGAAAATTGGTTGCGGTATTTGCGACGTTACCGATGCCGTCTAGTAGGGCGGAGGGCAAGGGCTCGGTGGGCAACGCGCTTGCCCCCGTCATCGTAAGTACGACGACGCACATCATCCTCGTCGGAAGTTGGCTCGTTACGCGATACTTCATCGTCCTCGCGTGTGTTGTGACAGCTCGGTCGTAGACAAGATCGGCACAGGAAACGCGGCGCGGAAAAGAGGCCGATCGACCCGCTCCCGTGGAAGCAGGAAGGCAGACTGACAAGATGAAAAACCGTCGATAGAGTTTACTGCTGCTGTGAACGAGTCAACTCTTTGCTCGCCACGTGCGTGTGTGTGTGTGCGTGTGCCGAGCGTGTCCAGCGAAAGTGAACGCTCGTGCACGAACGCGCGCGCGCGCGCGCGCGTCATTCGTGTCGGCATTTACACGCTCGGCTCGGTTTCTCGTGTCAGAATGCGCTCCGAGCGAAAGCGTTGCAGAATTTTTTGAAGTCCGCGCATCACATTTTCTAGCGATTATCCAATTCTAAGCTTATCTGACAATCATACATAATATAAAAAAATCGACACGCATATTTTGTTTGTAAGATTCTCGTTCGATGAATGAACGAATGATTTATTATTATATATATATATATCAGCGCTGCCATCACTTAAGTCATTTTTTGTTATTTTTTTTGACAAGTCACGAGAAAGTCCATGTCGTCCAAAATGGGTCACTATAGTCATTTTTTGTCTTGGGCTGACATGAAATTTATAAAATGTAAAAGTTCTATTCATATTTTTGCTGTCTCGTCTGATAACAATTGTTACTTGCTCACATATTTAATAAAATTCACTTATAATGTGTCTTTTATCTGTCTATAAACCTACAAATTTCGAAGTTTATCCGAAAATTTTTTCTCCCCTTTTTCTTCAAGTTTTCGTATTTCTAATTTTATCGACTAAAATTCACTATTTATTTAATTATTATATTTTATTATTTTTTATTAATTTATTATATGTTAGGCTATCCAAACATAGATCCTTTTATTTATCTTTAATTACTCTGAAAATTTTATATACAATGTCATTTTTGGTTGCTATTTAATACCTAGAGGTGGTTACTTTTTGTCACTTTTTATGTCAAAAAGCAATAAAACGAACGAAAAAAACGTTAAATAAATGAAACATTTATTATATCCTTATCTGTTGGTGATAAAATTTTTTGATTTTTGGCATTATTTTTGGCTTTCTAAGAATTTTACTGTTTTCAAATTTTGAAAAGGTAACTATAATCTATTAAAAAAAGATAACGCAAAGAGACAACTGGATACATTAATAATTACGTTACTAATCCAGAGATCTTCGCTTTTTCAATCTCAATATTTAGAGATAAGAATCATATATATGATTCAGTCACGAATCAATCTAGCTTGTCATTTACATGCCCAAATACATAAAAATGCGACCGAGTGGCGCGGCTTTTATCCTTGTCATATATTATTGCAAGATTCCGAGATGACCGGTTTCACTGAGAAACTAGAATTAAAAGGAGATAGAATATCGGTTTAAAGTAGGACTAAAGTTGATTGGCTGGTGAAATCGACTATGGGTCACACAAGCGAGAGTGTACTTTCTGCGCGGTCGTCGTTTATATGGATAGATAAAACGCTTCTTTATGCGGGCTGTTCGAAATTACTCCCTATAGGTTTGCCCTCTTTCCGCTCTATTTAATCTAATTCGTATAATTCTTCAGATACTTTCTGAAATAAAAGATACAAGATTTTCATTTCTTTGTAGAAAATTTGAAATAAGTAAATGCTTCCACGCGATATGAATTGTCATCACGCGACATACATGGATAGGAATTTGTTACATGCATGTTCACGTGTTACGAATTCCAAGGATCTTGTCAGTTCGACCCTCGTATGTATGTAATACATTTGGAGAAAGTGAAGGTCTTACATACTCGTACGTGATTTTACGATTCATTATGGTGAATGCTGTAATTATGTAAAATGATTCGAATTGACATGATAAAAATCTATTATTACAAGCAGCTTGATAAAATTATTAATACGAATAATTTATTTATTATATCATCTTACGAGTTATTGTTGGACTTTTATGGTATAAAATTTGAATTTTGAAACATTTTTTGTCGTTCTTATAAAATTTCTATTTCGAGCTTATGTCCCTTCGATATGTTATTGGAAAAATATAAAATACATAAAAGTAAGATATTCTACCTATACCTTAAATTTAATTCTTGGATATTACGTATTTACGTCAACCTTGCACTTGCATGAATATTGACATTACGCTGCAATTTTATCGCAAAAATGTTTGCACAAAAGAATCATCGACCGTCACGCTGCGAGCTTGAACTATGATTATATTTTCTTTTTTTCCCTTTTTTTTTACTCGAGATTGAGTAACGTTTTTGTTCTTGCTGTTTCCGCGTGTGAAAATTCGTTCCAGCGTGAAATCAACCAATTGTCACTCTCGTATTCTCAACAAATTTGTCTAAATTCTTTACATCTAAATGCAATCATGTGCTGAAAAAGGACAAGGACAGAACAAAGTAGCACATTAACATTCATTGCATCAATTATATACAATTTATATGAATATATGTATAAGTATATATGATTTAAATTGTTATTTTAAATTTCTTTTCTACTAAAAAAATCTTATTTGAATAAGGTGAGTCTTTAAAAGATATAGCTTATGTATATCTTGTCATAACAATTTGAGGTAAAAAAGCAACCGTATAATATGTATTCTAAACAGAGACGATATAACAAGCTTAATATTTCACATTTCTCTAAATTTTCGCTAATTTAAAAAAGAATGCGATTATTCGTTATTTAATTTAAAAAATTCAATTGGTTATTTTACTTTATAATTATCTAATAATCAATAAAAAAATTTATGTCAGTTTTATTACATTATCGGGCGTTCCGACAGTGCTTGGCACAAGTATAAATAACCTTGTCTTTTTTTGTCTTGTTTACTACCGGTAAATTCCACATCTGCCAAAGATGGTCGTTTTCGCGGAACGCTGGCGTGGAAAATTGTAGGCGAAACAAGAAACTATTAGATTTCTATTTTATCTAATAATAGATAAATTGCCGTTTATTTTCAGTTAACGAAATTTTTAATATAATACTCCAGATTTTCAGCTATCCTATTGTTTTGACACTGTTTTAAACGTCCTACTGTCTTGACTGTTGAACACAGAGAGAGACGTTAAATTTCAAGTGCTGATAACAAAAGCAAAGTTGCCAAGAACGGTCGCGACTCAGCAGTAGAAGGGATAACGCAACCTAAAATACAATATTAAAAACGCGGCATTTACACTCGAAACAAAGAGGCCCACACAACATGCAATAAAATATGAATAAAAAAGGGTAATACAATAAAATAGAGAGGGGGAACAAGCGGGGACTAAGCTCCTACTCTCTCAGCCCTACTAAATAAATAGATAAATGTAGGCAATACAACGCACGCAATAAGTTACGCGGCATTCACACACAAGAAACTATTAGATTTCTATTTTATCTAATAATAGTACACTTGTATACCGGCGTTAACATTATGAGTGAACTATAACTGATATAACGCAGAAATTTAATTTAAAAAATGAGAGAACTTCCGCGATCGGGTTCGTGATATAATCGATCTCGGTCGTTTTCTCGACCGCGAGGTCTCGGATTAACATTGTATAACCGGGTCATTATATGCATATTGCGGACGCGGAAGCGCGCGGAAGTGGCTGCATATACTGCAGACAGGCTAGTGCAAGGTAAATTGTCGCAATATACGTCACGGCGACATCGTGAATAAAGGGAGCACACGCCGCGTGTAAAAGTACTTTACTTGTTGCGCGAGGTTACGTGACGTGCATCGTTATTGTCGGATCGTCCTGTGGGGTTGTCTCCATCTCGAACAAGCATCTCCGTAGCATCGTAATCGAGTAATTACATCTCGAGCTAAAAGTCATTGCCTTGAGAGAAGAAAAATGCGCATGTAAGTGTCTGTGTGCAAACGAGTTCTTCCAACATTTGTTTTTGTTGCTAAATAATATATAAAAATTATCGGCAGTTTCTGTAGAATTTTTATTTAATATTCATAAATAGTAAGAAATTAATTACGATTTTTTAAATTAAAGAAATAATGAATTTGTTATCTTTCTATAATTCAGAGAAATTTAAGGAATGTGTTTATTATTGGTATCAAGAGATACGGTAGTGTCTTGTGCCAAATAAACGCGCAGGTAAAAGTCACGCGTAACAGCAAAAAGACGCATCGTGTATCTTTACGCGAGTCGGCCCGTTGAGATTTAAGATTTTCAGATATCAATATAACCACTGAACGGATCAAGTTCTTACTAGGTTTAATCGATAACTTGAATTTGAATTACATAAAGGTCTTTACTTTTGCTCTACGTGCTTTCTAATATATACACGGAAAAAAAATGATGTTGTATGAACAGCATCAGTGTATTTGAAATAAAATCGGTTGATGCAACATCAATACTAATGAATAAAAAATATCAGATAGTTGTTTTAATAATCCAGATATTTAATCCAATAATATCATTGTATTTGGAAAATTTTGTTATGTCAATCATATATCTACTCATCCCACACACATAATTTTTTATTATAATCACATATGAATTAAATAACTTTCTTGATATATAATTGAATACCATGTAATCCATTTAACTACATCTGCTGTCAATTCAACCACGTGAAATAATTAAAACAAATGAACGATATAGTTAATGTTATTGCGGTAAATACAATTGCATCATCTTGTTAATTGAAATATAATTTATTTAATTTGTATACTTTTTGTATATTGCCACAAATCAATTATTTGTTAGATGTTACATTTAAATATTATTGATTCATGCACAATTGTTTTTTAGAGAAGATAGGAATGTTCGTATATTGATTACACATCTATTTGATATAATCAACATATGTAATCATTAATATTTTTGTGTGTATATGTATCTATATAGACAAAAATATTAATAAGTATATGTTTCAATTGTATCAAGTGGATGTGTAATCAGAATGAAAACATTTCTATTTCTTTTAAACAAATGAATGCGCATGATTCAATAATATTTAATTAAATATAACGTCAAATATAACGTTAAATATAACTTAATAGATTTAAGTAAATAGATTCATGAATTAATCGTGGCGCTATAATAAGAGTCAAGCATCAGATGTACGTGTGAAATATTTTAAAAACGTAAATTAAACAAATTATAATTCGAATTAAATTGAATTCGCACGTACCCGGTGCTTGATTCTTTTTTAGTTGCCGTATTATTCTTGTTAATAATTTAATACTAAAAGAGTCTGTATGATTTGTATAATTTAGATATTTCTATACAGATTTCAAAATACAGGGAAAAAATTTACAGATCGTAGAAATTATTTTTTAAGCAACGAAATAATGCATTTGTATTAATTACATCGGTAATCGGAATTGCGACATCAAGTATTATACCGCATGCAAAGATGTGTTACACGAACGGCTATGGCGTGTTCAAGAATTTTTATTTGTTATGCTAATCGTACTCATTCGTCGAACAGGAGTACCAAATTATGGTAACAAAACGCGCTATCGTACTACATTAAATGCAGTGATTAAATCAAAGATTTTTGTAAGAAAAGCAAATGCGTTCCACGCATTGTTTCGCCAGAAATAATAAGTTGTGAGCACTGGCGGTCGCGCAGGACCAATCGGAGATTGTGTTGCCAGAAACGGGCCCCGGCTCACACGCACACAATCAGAGAACCCCGTACATGTACTGCGCCGAGCGCTCTACGCAGTACATGTACGGGGTTCTCTGATTGTGTGCGTGTGAGCCGGGACCCGTTTCTGGCAACACATCGGAGATTCAATCGGTAGCGACCGTCAGAGCAGCGCACTTGGCCTTTATTTTAAGTTTATTCTAAAATATTAATTCTCTTTTTTTCTATTTTATAATTACTAAAAGTAAAATTTTTTATAATGTACTCTTGCCCGTTTTGCTTTGAATCATATGATTCTATTATACATATATATTTGCCATCATAGATGATATCGCGTCTTTCGATTCTTTTAAGAATACAAATTTTCAGAATCTCTCTCAAGAACGATTGGGACACGAAATTATTTATTTATAGATTTATATTACATATAAACACTGTATATTTTATATAAAAATAATACATCTTTTTTATTTATCATTTCTATATAATAAGTTGTGCATATATATAAATTAACTTATAATTATTCTGTGGAATAAAAATATGCATACATATATAAGGATCAATTAATAACGAATTTAACACATGTAGTGATAATCCCTTTTTCTTATTGTATAATTACAAAAGTCATATGTAAAAAGACAAAAGAACTTTTTAATCAATCTGATCATATATTTCTCTTATTCTATGGCACATCATATTTATCTGTACAATAAAGATATATTCTTAAATAATATGATCTTAGAAATCATTTTACATATGATTTTATTATAATCTAAGTCGTACTATATATACAGTATTTTATAAAAGTATATAAACTATATATTCATCTCCTATATTGGAGAAAAAATATTTGGAAGTAAATCCCTGATATGTAAAATATTATCTCAAAATAAGAACAGATAATTAACTTTAAAAAACTACAGATCCAGCTGTATACGAGAAAAAATGATATAAAAATAGCTTGTAAATTATATATGTTATTATCACATATCGGATGAATTTATTCGTTTCTCGTATGCATTCCAGAGCTGTTTTTTGTATTCTAAAGTAGCCTTTAAAAAACCGTGAGAAGCTTCCGTGATACCTCTACCGACAACAGCCAAATCGGCACCTGAATTGATAACCGATTCCGGATTATTATATTGTTGATCTAACCCATCATCGCTCTTGGATAACTTGACGCCAGGCGTCAATTGAAGTAGCCCGGGTTGCACAGAGAGATTGGATTGAGACACGAGGCCGACTATCAGGTCAGAAGCCTCCTCCGCTATCGACACTGCGCTTTTCAGGTAATCACCGGTGGTCAATGCACCTTTGGAAGACATTTCGGCGACGAGGAAAATGCCGCGAGGTTCCATGATGTTCTCCAGACCTTTTTTTAGCGCGTCAATGATAGACGCACCGGATACCGGATGCACTGTGATCAAATCGGCCCATTCGGCGATCTTATATAAACCGTATCTGTATTGCAACGACACCGTGTTGCCGATATCGCCAAACTTGCGATCCTCCATCAGTAGGAACTTGTGCCGCTTTGCTAGTTCCTTTAGCTGAAGAATAAAATTCTCGTTAAAATCTTCTATGATATCTATGTGAGTTTTCAGCACAGCGATGTGAGGCCCAACTATGTTCGCTAATTCTAAAATCGCGTCCGTCTTTTTCAGATCGGCCGCCAGACAGAGATTGGTTTGCTTAGACTCCATTAGTTCCAGCAATTTCGAGGCCAATAGATTTTTTGCTAATTTTGCGCGTTTACAGTATGGCAGCTTCAATCTGTCATCTGATATAGCTATACTGCCTATAAGCAAAAAACGGCAAATAATTATGATAAATTATAAGCCATATATATCAATCTCTGTCAAAATAATTTACCTTGAATGGAAACGGTCGGTGCCTGATTCTTTGTCAGATAATTGTCAACGTTCTTGACAACTTCCAGCGTGATCTTTCCAGCCTCAAGAAGATACTGCGTGAGCTGCGTGATTACATATAAACTCTTGACCTTGATTCCATGATTCTCAAGATTCTTTCTGCCACCTTGCTCTCTATCGATTACCACATATGCCTCTGTTACAATCAGATGTTCCTTCTTCAAAGCATCAACGGTTTCCAGAATACTGCTACCACTTGTGATGACATCCTCGATGATCACACAATTATCACCAGGCGAAAACACACCCTCGATCAGCTTCTTTGTACCATACGATTTTGTTTCCTTTCTCTTCATTAACATTGGAATCCCGTTGTCAACTGAGATCAGGGTGGCTAATGGCAACGCTGTGTACGGAACTCCGCAAATTTGAGATACTTTTGTAACATCATCCGGAAGAGTCCACAGAGCTTTCGCCAAATTAGACTACAATAAAAAGATAAATTAATATATATCGCTTATATATCTTGTACAAATTTATCACGATTCTTTCGTATATGTTACACATTAATATATATACCATTAGTTTCGGGTATGAAATTATCACTCGCAGGTCGAAATATACCGGCGTTCTTAAGCCGAGTTTCATTTTAAAATCTCCGAATTTCAGAGCCTGGACATCGTACAATTCTATGGCCAACTTTTTTAGCAACTCTTCCATTTTACTGTAAATGAAAAATAAAAATAAATAAATAAAAGAGATGCGCTAAAGAAAAAAATTTACAATTGGGAACGGGCATGATGCCCAATATGGCGAAACTAAGCCGGCTCGTAAACACGCGGAACATGTGTGCTCATTCAGTTTTGTCCAGTTTTGAAACCATAAATCAGTGTAGTGAAAGTGAATAATGTTTCTAACATTGTGAGAAATTTGCCGATATGCAGATTCAACTTTGTCCTCTCGGAATATCGTGGATATACTTTCATTTTGTCCTGACAATCTTTTTACAGTCCACACTAATATTCAGACACTCCGTGAGGATAGTGTCTACATTTTTATACGCACGTTTTAGGTTTTTTTACAATTTTATTGTGAAAACTAAGTGAGCACACATATGTTCCGCGGAACTTAGTTTTCACAATAAAATTGTAAAAAACCTAAAACGTGCGTATAAAAAACACGCGGAACATGTGTGCTCATTCAGTTTTGTCCAGTTTTGAAACCATAAATCAGTGTAGTGAAAGTGAATAATGTTTCTAACATTGTGAGAAATTTGCCGATATGCAGATTCAACTTTGTCCTCTCGGAATATCGTGGATATACTTTCATTTTGTCCTGACAATCTTTTTACAGTCCACACTAATATTCAGACACTCCGTGAGGATAGTGTCTACATTTTTATACGCACGTTTTAGGTTTTTTTACAATTTTATTGTGAAAACTAAGTGAGCACACATATGTTCCGCGGAACTTAGTTTTCACAATAAAATTGTAAAAAACCTAAAACGTGCGTATAAAAATGTAGACACTATCCTCACGGAGTGTCTGAATATTAGTGTGGACTGTAAAAAGATTGTCAGGACAAAATGAAAGTATATCCACGATATTCCGAGATGACAAAGTTGAATCTGCATATCGGCAAATTTCTAACAATGTTAGAAATATTATTCACTTTCACTACACTGATTTATGGTTTCAAAACTGGACAAAACTGAATGAGCACACATGTTCCGCGTGTTTACGAGCCGGCTCATTTTCGCCATATTGGCCATATAACACATGTTGTTCTGAAATAACTCTCGTTGAGTATCGATTGTATTTTTATTCACAAATATTTTTAAGTTGACGCGATTACAATTACTTCTAGCATTTTTGAAAACTTTATTACAAAATTGTATTACGTGAGGGCAAATATTTGCAGCAGGAGCAGAGAGAATTCTGGGAGAGATCACGCTGCCGTTTTTCTAGCTGGTATAGTAGCGCCAGAGAGAAGAATGAGAGTCGCCACGCTGCCGTTTTTCGTGAAACGCTTTTTCCAAAGAGGATTAGATAGAGTGGAAGGTCCCATAAGAGCATAATGTATTTTTGCGTATACAACTTTCAGTGCCCTCTTGTGAGTCTAATGCCCAACTATACAGGGTGTCCCATTTTAAAAGTTCCACGCGAATATCTCGAAAAGGAGAAGTTTTTCAAAAAAATGTTTTAGACAAAAGTTGTATGATTCACAAGGGGACACATGATGAAAATATGGACTTGACCTTGAATGACCTTTTCAAATCAATTAGTGTAAAGACAAAAACAAATAATTGTTTAAAAAAATACATTGTAAATAATTTCATACTTTTTCTTAAAAATAATTTTTTTTTTCTAATTGATTTATCTCATTATTTTGTACATAAAAGTATTACGGTAAGATTATCGAAAACTAATTATTTTACGAGATATTTTATTTTTTATATCAAAATATGTCAGATTAAAATATAAAATAACTCAAAAAGTACTTAATGAAAAAATACTTTATTATAGTGTTTTGAAAAGCTTTCGAGATAAGCTACAAGAATATGCAATAAAAAAGGGGGTTT